CATTAAATATACTTTTCACTGGATATTACAAAACTTTTATATTTAAATTGATTAGATGGCAAAATTAAATTTACTAAATGTGGTCACCGATAATTCTCATTTTTATTTAGTTCTGAGACATAGTGTATATAACTCTCAGATACAGATCTATTGAAGTATTTTATCTGATTTTTGTTCTCAAATGTATTTCTCGTTTCTCTGTTATCATTAAAAGTATATCAAGTATGGCCTGAGGACGGGGAAGGGCTGTAAATACAAATCTCTTATGATTTCTTCCAAAGATTTAAAACATTTAAAATTTTTTATTTCTTTCATATGCCAGAGAATGACTTAATACTGTATTTTTGTTATACACTAACTATGAATATATATTACTTATATATTTAAGAAAAAATGTGTTGATTTGTTGAGTGATATAAAAAAGTTTATTGAAATTTATTTGAGAAAATACGGAATGAATTATGTTTTGCCCGAAAACACAGAGAGACTTAGTGTGGGTCTAATGAAAGGCTTTATTAAATGAATAGTTGAACCAAAAAAACTATTGTAAGGATATCTTTGAAATTACATAATAATAATCGCATTTATGTATAGAATTGAATGTTTGTCTTGAGATTTAAAAGTAAGAAAATGGTAAGAAAGAAGAGATATTCACTTCTGTACACATATATAACACATATAAATCCCCAAAAGGCCGGCCATCGCTGATAAATACTGTGTATAATTACAAAACATTTCTAATTAATATCAACTAAATATTTATTGATTCTAATTATCAAAGGATTTGCACTCAATTTGAATAAATTAATACATTATGTGCTTTTAAAAAGTCTTTGTAATTAACTTATATCTAAAAATATATCTCAAAAAATAACATTTAATCGTATATTTTGATTGTTATTCTTACAAAATGAAAATTATATTTAAATTAATGTTATTATTAACTGGGATTCAAATTCCTAATTGAAATTTTTATCCAAAAACTTATTAACATCTTATAGTGTTTATAGTAATTGTTTGTGAAATTTAAATAAAGTTTAAGTATATTTATAAACTAAAGAAAACTATTTACAGGTATGTAATACTTATATATGAAATCTACTTATATTTAGTAATAATAGTGGATATTATGTAGTAATCAATAAAAATTGTAGTGATTTTAGGTTAACATATCTATTATAACTCTATATATTATAAAACATATCTTATATATTATTTTTAAACGCAAATCAATTGAAATTGTTTTTCATTATAAACTAAACATGTAATTGAAGTTTAAGACAAATTTCATTCAATAGAGTATAACAATAGATTATAACTGCTATTATTATTATTAGAAAAAAATTTACTCCATTTAATGTATGCCTATTTATTGTAATCTCTTTTTGCATTCAAATGCGATATATATTATAAAAAGAAGAAAAATAAAAACTTTTGAACAAATCGTTTCGATGTATTATATTATTTTGAAATCAATACACGGTTTACAATACAATTCGCAATAATTTTTGGGCACAGAATATAACTATCGACTTATTTTTGGCACCAAAAGAGTAATACAACTCTTTTCTCTCCCAAAGTTGGATAGAAATGATTGAATTGTAGTTTTTATTATTGTTTAATGATTTTCTTACTGTTATTTATAGAAAACAAATTTGTATTTTATGTTTTCTTAAAACTCATTGCAATTGTATTTTCCAATTTCTATTCACTATTAACACAATATCTGTCATTTTTTTCCATAGTATTTAGATATCAATTGCAAGGTATAAGCCCTCTGTTTATAACCTGTCTTTCTATCGCTGGCGAAACACTATTATTACAAACAATACATAAGTTATATTCATGTAAAACAACTTTTCATTATTTACTTCAATGTCAACAACTAATTCTTTGAATATTTAATTCCAAATAATATATATTATATTTGAATAAATAGTTTTACGATCAGTTGTTTCGTATGTTGTAATGAGTGGTCTCTCTATTGGTTTGTGTGGCGTTTAGTAATGTATTTGAGATGAAGAATAAACGTATCCGAAGAACAACACAAAAACACTAATTTTCATAGTTTTCTTAGCAATCAATAGAGTATTCGTTACTTCAAAACAAACACAAGGATAAGAAGAGGGAGAGAAAAATCGTGAAAAGAGTTTTGCCTTTCATTACGCTGTCCCGCATTCACACAACTTTATGAAGAATTAGATCAACATCTCTGAGAGTGAGTGCGAGAGAGAGAGAGAGAGAGAGAGAGAGAGAACGTCTGGGAATCAGTATACAAGAGCTCCTCTCACCTCTAACTGTTGTAAAACTACCTGCGCTGAGAAGGAGAGAGAAAGAGATTGACAATAATAAAGGCAATCATAATATATAATAATTATGTGAATTGGATGTATGTGTGGAGAGAATGAATGAATGTGTGTGAGAGGGAGAGAGAAGGAGAGAGAGAAACACAGTCTAGTTTGTGGGTCACTGGTATACAAGTGAGAGAGCACTCGGAGGTTCACGCATTCAATCCCAATCGGCTCTCAACACACTCTCCTCGCAAAATGTTTGCCACTTTTCAGATGAAGACCTCATGTATAATATGTATATATTGTCAGCGCTTTTACCAATCAATGTAATGACTCGTCAGTGAAATTATCGATTGGTCTGCAAAAAAAACTTTTCGTGAAAATGGTTTAAAGTTTTGCTTACTTTATGTGTAAATTGATTGGTATTTATTGCTGTTAATCTCAAATCAATCAATAATTATGAACCAACTATTGTTGGACTCAAAACATTGCATTGAATTTATATGCTTTATATTCTTCACATTAACGTCGCTGTCATTTGCGGTAAGTTTTGTTTTGATTAGTTTTCTTAAAATATTTTTCTTTAGAAACTATTGTTTGATATATTTATAAATTATACAATTGTTGGCAAATCTATGTATTCATTTCATGTCAAACGCACACATTTTCCGCTATTAAATTTTAACCGATTTATTAATTTATATAAATATTCATGTGATTTAATAGTCAAGAAACGGAAATATTTGCAAAAATCATATATTAATTTTGTTATAAGAAATTTTCTGAAATTACTTCCACATTAGCCACTAATGGAAAATTAATAACTTATTATATTATGATATAAGTTATAATACAAAAAAGTTTACGTATGAATTGTATATGAAAATTATAGTAAAAATAAATAACTTGATATTAACTTAATAATAAAAATGATAAATAAAAGTTTTTATGGCCATTCAAAGTGTTTTATTAATATTATTAAAGCGGTTTTAAAAAAGCCTAAACAATCAGTCGCTATAAATAAGCCTAACTCTGGATATAAAATGCAAAATACATTACTGTTTGGCTAATAATATATTGTTATATTGTTATAAATCGGAATTAAGCATTAAACTTAGAGAGAGAGAGAGAGAGAAGGAGAGAGAGAAACACAGTCTAGTTTGTGGGTCACTGGTATACAAGTGAGAGAGCACTCGGAGGTTCACGCATTCAATCCCAATCGGCTCTCANAGAGAGAGAGAGAGAGAGAGAGAGAGAGAGATTACTTTAACGAAAGTTTTAATGAAATTACTTTTTAAAAATCTAATAATAAAAAAATCGTGATTTATTGCTAATATAAAGTCCAAGAATAACACATAAACCCAAATGAAGTTTTTCTTTCTTAGCTATTAGTTTAGCATTTAATAAAATGAAGAAAAAAACTTCGATATAATACTAATTATTTTATTAGTTGTGGAGTGAAAAGAGAAGAGAAGGGAAGAAAAAAAATGTTGACTTAACACTAAAATAAACTGTTTATTGAAAAAACAAGTTTTCATTTGCATTCAAAACAACACAATAATTGTATAATAGATTAAAATATTAACGTAATAAATGCCTGAAAGCGTTATTCTCTTATAATAAATGGGTTACAATAAAAATGAAAATTACATATAAATCTTATGAGTAAAACATTATATTATATTATATTCTCATTTTTTGTGCCTTTCATACCGATTCACGAGTCAATCGCTTTTAAACAAAATAATTCGCGTTTTGTTTTGAAACAAACTTTTTAAATATTATTTTATTGTTTTCAATGCAGTCATGATATGATGATAGGAGTATTGGGATTGAGAAAGTGACTGAATAAATGAACCAAAAGTGTATTGGCATTACTATATGGGAGAGTGTGAGAGAGGAAGTGAGTGCGAGAGAGAGAGAGAGAGAGAGAGAGAGAGAGACAGAGAGACAGTTAGAAGTCATTGTTTCGGAAGAGGTTTTGCACTTAAACTCCATAATAATAATAATAACGTTAATAATAATAATGTGATATAATTTGATAATTCGTAAAATGGATGAGAGCTAATTTATTGGCAGAAAGGGGTATTTTAATATGTATTTTATAAATATTGACTCAATTAGAGAGGCACTTGTGATTGGGAACGCAGTGAGTACTCAAGAGAGAGAGAGAGAGAGAGAGAGATGAATTAAAATATGTTTGATCTCAATATACATATAATATTTGTTTATTACATGATTTGAAAGGAAAAGTTTAGCGCATTCTTTAATAGCAGTCAAACCCCTGTTTGTTATTATTATTTAAATTATATTTCTTTTTCACTCATATTTAGTATATTTAGACAAAAAAACTCCTCATTTATAAACAATTTTGTTCTCATTTTTATGAAATAATATTTACAATAATATATTGTTTTAATAACAAATTTCTGTACCTATTATTTGCAGATTTATTATATTAGTTAAAAAAATAACTCGAGTTTTTTGTTTTGCTGTTATTTTATAAAACGAAAAATTCCTTTAAAACAAGGAATTTGTGTGTTTTGAGCGAAACAATAGTATCGGGCGATTAGATCAGAGCACCTGTATGTTAGATCGTAATACTGTATACTTTATGTAGATCTATATACATGTAAAAAACATTTATGTTCTACCGTAATGGGACAGGTAGTAATAGCAACCAACAGGTATTTTGTATACAACAAACATTTGTTTGTATGGGAAACCTAATACAGGTATACAATTGAATTCAATTGAGTAAATAAATTGTTTCATTCTCTCTGCCCATAAGGACTCACCCTTTTATATAGTGAACCCATTTTACGAATTATCAAATTATATCACATTATTATTATTATCGTTATTATTATTATTATGGAGTTTAAGTGCAAAACCTCTTCCGAAACAATGACTTCTAACTGTCTCTCTGTCTCTCAAACTCTATAATTTAAATCACATTTTTTTCAAAATGCATTTTAATGTTAAAGACATTACAAACTCGTGTTTCTCTTTGTATTATATCCTAAACAGTAATCTCTTGTATTTCTCTCCTTCTCTGCACCGCTCTTTCATTTGTGTCCCAAAAATGTCTTTTTTGTCATAATTTTATTGTTTTCTTATCTAAACTACGGTTTGGTTTTTCGAGAATTATATTTCAATTTTAATACCAAAGAAAATTGCATTTCATTTCTTTGAACATTTAATGTGAACTTTAATGAACTTTCTTTTCAATTATTTAATAAACAACAAAACAATTTGTTTAGTTTTTTTTGCATTTTAATTGAATAATAAATCAAATATAAATTTAAAATAACATTTTAGTTAATACAGTGAAACTCAATGAACTATTTTAAACTAACATGAACATTTTGTTTTTTGATCGCTTTAATCGGTTACTAATTTCTACAAAATGCTGTTGCGATCTAATTGTGCCATTTTTATCACCTTTTTTACCAGACATTCACTGCCCTTAAGCCTACAATCCATGCCATGTCTTGTTGTGATAAAAGTACAGAAACTTTTTTGTCACACAATATGCAAAACGATTATAATTATATATTAACCGTATTATTAAACAAATAAAAATCTTTATTTGTTTTTAAAATGAGAACAAATACGAGGGCACTTGTATTGAGAGCTAATTTATTGGCAGAAAGGGGTATTTTAATATGTATTTTATAAATATTGACTCAATTAGAGAGGCACTTGTGATTGGGAACGCAGTGAGTACTCATGAGAGAGAGAAAGAGAGAGAGAGAGAGAGCACAGTTTAATTAAGGTCTCAATTAACTGAATACCAGATATTATATGCATTTGATTAAGAAGTCAAGAGAATACAGCAAATAAGAAGAAATCATAGTTTTCTAAATAAAGTTTCTTTAAATTAAGTCATTTGCGAAAACGTGAATAAGATTTGCATAAAAAATATTGATTTGAAAAATTAAACACTAATTGTGGCACTTATTTAATGTGAGAGAAAAATTTAATATCTACTGAATGTTGAGTGATTTGAAAGTTAATGTTCACACAATATATACCCGTAAAACGGCTTTACATTTAATAACCAAACAGTTATTTAATAGTTTGGATGAATTGAAGAAACATATACTGAATGTACAGTATATACAGGAATGGAGCGAATGATTGCTCATTCATTCATTCAATCATTAAATTCATACAAAATTAATGGCAAAACGAATTGTATATTCAATACACAACATAATTAAAGCAATAATTCATTTCTGTGTTCATAATTAATAAAACTATTTAATGTATTGTTCATTGTTTTTGTTTATAAGTCACTATGAAATGAGCGAAACAATCGGCCGAACCATAAGGTGCTATTGTATGGCATTGTATGGCATTGTATGGCATTGTAATAGTCAACCACCCGGTGCTGATTCTGCTGGTCATGTATGCCAACCCATTGCCGAGCTCTATATATGTCCTCATATTCACTGCCAATTAATGTATTATTATATGATTTATAATATAATTCAAGGATTTTTTAAATAATAGCTTCAAACTAATTAAGAAACTTTATATTCTCTCTCTCTCTCTCTCTCTCTCTCTCTCTCTCTCCTTCTCTCTCTTTCTCTCTCATTGTTGTAATTCTTTGGTTAACCAAAGATTAATAAAATTTAATTGCATTTAATTTATGCATAAATTAAAAAATAATAAATATTTTGTATCAGTTTTATGTGCTGTAAATGAATGACAAAAAACTCTGTTAACACACAAGTGATTATAAAAAAGGGTTTAATAATAAATCATAATAAGATTTAATTGAAATGTTTATGCAATTAAATCACATATTTATCGCACTTTATACAAAAGGCCCGTATTTTGCGAATTGATGCCAAAAACACTTTCAATGATTGCATTTTACTTGACATTAATTTTTAATGAAAAGATATAAATATTAAATAAAACAATTTCTCTGAGATTTATTCTCATGTTTTTCTCGACTCTTTGTAATACAAAATAAATGTGAAGTGAAATGAAATGAAAAACAATATTTATTTTATTTTATCATAAAATTTCGTGTAATGTTTTTCAGAAAATCATTTCATTTCTAGCGTTTGTTTCGTTGAAATTCCTGTCAAATGTATAAAACAAATAATTCATAAGAAAAGCAAATAAAAAATATCCCCTAATATATGGAGGAAATGATAACAACGAAACGAAACACAAAACCCTTTTTACTTAAACGATAATATCCTTATCGATGTAAACGACTATTAAAACTGAAGTTTAAATTTGTTCCCCATTTTTATTTAAGTAATTTTGTTTTATAAAACCAGAAAAAATAATACATTCTTTGAATAAATTTTATTCAATTTAATACATTATTAAGCACTTAATGTTAGCATAAAAATCAAATTTATTATTATTATTCAAATCCCTAATTGAATCACAAATTTAATGATAAATTTTATATAAATTACAGAATAATAACAATTCTTATCTGTTTTGTTGATTACATAATAACAATAATAATGATTACAAGATTTGCTGAGTTTTTGTGTGCAAAAAATTAAAATTTATTAATAGTTTTACTCAAAAAATAAAATAAAACTAAACCTAATCTAAATTTATTGCAAACTCCAGTCGAGTCAAAGTATCTTAAATGAAGAATTCAGTCCATCGGTCACATCGAGATGCGATAGAGGGGTTATGTATATATATGTGGTCACATTACAGCCGTTCAACGGTGTGGTCCATACCCGGGGTCACCGCAAACATCCCTGTATGGCGTACGGCAGCGGCGGCTTCAACACCACATTAAAGATCAGTTTATTGGCCGACGAGAGCGACGAATTGTTTTGCGGTTATAATAAATTCAATGTGAGTCTCAATTCACACACACAATCATTAACACACATTTTTATAGACAACCAAATTCTCTATATTTCATACATTCTCATCAAAGGCAATCATTTTAGCGATATTTTTAGATATGAAATCCACATTAAAATTAGGAACAATTGTAATGTGAATCTGTTTTTAATGATAGCAAACAACAATTTGAACAAAACTTGATGTCATTCTGTATTTTTATGCAAATTTTAACATAAATTTCGAAAATGTTTTGATGAATTGATATCATAGGGCGATAGATCGGTATCGTTGGCCGTCAGACCTCATAAATCGCTGGAATTATCTGATGATAAATACTATTTCATGACTTGCGAACAGTTGGGCTACAAAAGTGTTCGGTTTGTGTATAGATTTTGCTAATTTATCATTACTTTTCACTTATCTTTCCCTCACCCATACCTTTCCGGTGTTCAACACTCAATATTCTCTAATCTCATATTTGATTTGTACTAATAATGTGAATATTTGTTTGCATGTGTGCCACAACAGGGGCGGCACATATAGCGTTTCATTAAAACTAACTGATTTAAGCGGACAGAGGGTCTCGCGTGCACTTCACGGCAGTTCCTATATATTGAGAGCACATCTGACCCCATATGACAGTGAGTACAGTATATTCACACAAACAGAGACAGAGACAGAGACACCGTAACCCACATATCATTACCTATTGTACAAAAGTAATTAATTATTTGATGTAATTATAGTAATAACAACACTGCGAATGAAGAACTGTTTCTCGTTCGCGGCCGACACCGAACACGTCCGACTGTTGGACGACTTCGGGTGTCCCACAAAAGCGCAACTCATGTCTGAGTTCATGTACAACAGCTCACATACGGCCGAAGCCATAGTCTACGAGATGTTCAAATTTCCCGACTCTCACAAATTGTTTATCCAATGCGATGCCATACTATGTCGGGGCGGATGTCGGGAACCGATGTGCGATTCCGCCACCGATAAGGACCGGGAATTGGCCACCGATTCCTATTCGCTAATATCTTCGTCGACAACGCTATACGTCTTCGAGCCGTCAGATGAAAGCTGTAATTCAATAAAACAATTCAATTATATCTTAAAGAAGGTTTAAAATTGTGTTTTAATTTCCTACACATTTAGTAATGTCTGCAAATTTAATCGATTGCACGGAATGGAGGTTTCCGTGGCTTATAATACTCTGTATAACTCTCACAGCATTGTTAGTACTCATGCTTTTAGTGAATATATTCATGTGTTCATCGCTTTCATGTCGATTCATTAAAACAGAAGTATAAAACAATTGTTATTTATGTTAACTATAATTAATACAAAGAATTGTCAATACTTAGTAGGGAAGGGTTTGCATTAATTAATAATACATCTCAAGAATAGTTTTTTGCCAAAAGTAGTGCCAAGTATTGACAATTCTTGCGATAAAATAACCACTCATTTCAAACAAGTTTATATAATATATATTATAATATAATTAACAGGTGATAGAGAAGGAGCCGTCGGAAGTGGACGACTACGACCCCTATCACGTCAATTGGATTTCACCCAACACTGGGTTCGGCGGTTCGCGACTATCGTTGAACAGATCCGCCGCATTGAACAACTCGTTCACATCAAACAAGTCGTCCGCCAGATCTCATCATTTAGTCTACTATAGAGACCATTTTGTGCCCAAACACTACTCCACTTTACAGCCGCCGCCGTTATCCTCATCACAACAAACTCGTCCTCTTAGCAGATATTCCACTCATTCAACAAAATCGCAAACTTCGCAAAAATCAAGGAAATCACAAAAATCACAGAAATCCCAGAAATTACCCAAAATAGTGGAAATTGATTATTCAAATGATTTCAAACCATACACTTATTCGCTTCGTTAGGCCATCACTTGTGTCTCTGTTTGTTATTCATTATTAATGAATTAATGAATCATTAACAATCATTTGCCATCACTTCATCACAATTGTTACATCAATTCATATTTATTATAACACCACATATAATATATAATTTTTGTATTTATTATATCATATTCTTTAATTAATACAATGCATTGAATTTTGTGTTTTTCATGATTTTTCTCTAAAATAAAATTTTTAAATTAAAAGTTTTAACAAAAAATGGTTGGAAATGAGTTATTTTGAGTAATTTTCTAAATAGGTTATGAACATTTTCTAAACTAATTAATAGACATAAAATTGTTTGTCACATATGAGGTTTGAATTCTTATGAAACAACAATTAAGTGATTTAAATAAAGCTTTTTGGTTAATATTAAAATATCTGATGTAAATTATTATCTAATTATAAATATGAAAGAAAACAGTGATTGCTTTGTATTACAGTTATTATTAAATATTCAATGATATAGTTAAATGTAGTTAATCAATGAATTGTATTTCTTAACAAAATAACTTGGTCAATATTTATATATAAAATTTTGTTTTGATTAAATCTGATTTATAATTTAAATTGCAATAGATTTAATAGTTTCTATGTATTAGAATCCAATAATTAGATTCTTTAATGTAATAGACTAATTGATGACAAAAACTACTGACCATGATGGTTCACAATGTAAATTTATATTATAAGTGTATTGAAATACTTAGGAAATTCAGACAAATTCTACTATTTATTACATAAAACGCTAAATTAAATTAAATTAATAACTATAGTTTGGGAATAAAAGATAACTAAACTTTGTATGTTATATAATGGTAATGATTTAACAAGTTTTGCATAACTTCTAGAAGTTTTGCCATTAAATTATAAAATGTACGCAAAATATTCAAACATATCGACCAAAACACTAAACATTTCCATAAATCAGACAATTAATTAATGAATTAAATGTAAAAAAAAGTTTAAGAAAAGCAATAATTGAATGAATGACTAAATTGTAAATTCATTTTAACGATAGAAACGATTGAATGAATGTTTGAAATGAGGTCTCAATTGGTAGACAACCCCTGAATGAGTGAAGTGTTGATCACATGATGTGTTGTTTATATGCAATGAATGCACGCATCGAATGACGAGATGAAGACAACTACTCGCAGGACATCCGCCCGAAGACAATGAGTGGTCGCACCGGACGGACACACGGCTACATACGGGCGCCCAACACATCCACTGCTGTGCCCGCACTCAATGGCGGCCCACAGACACAGACACAGACCGCAGACACCGTCGGCAGAGCGCACAGATCGGCCGCCACCGCCACGGATCAGCTGGACTCGTGTCTGACAGGAGTGGCCAATTTGAAGCCAAAGTGCGAACAGACATACCGTGTGATTGCGGCCAATGTTTCCGCCGACTCGTCTCTCGTCCACGAGAAACAGCTCTGGAATGATATCAAACAATACAGACATCAAAAGGTGTGTCTGTCCTCCGCATCCGCTGTCCTCTCCATCCTCTCATTGTCTATTTGTCTCATTATTTTTTAGGACAAAATACTAATCGAGTATTTGATTGGCTTTTATGTCTCACTAATGGAGACGATTGTGACCAATGATAAGCAACACAAAGAGCCGTACCTGTTGTGCGCCAATACAAGCCATTTGTCGCCAACCGCTCGCCTCTTGCTGTACAATATACTGATCCGAATCGGAGATCTTAACCGTTATCTCAGTAAGACATCGGTGGCCGAGAACTACTATCTGCGCGCCCGACGCCTGGATGTGACCAGAGGTCACGCTTACAACCAATTGGCTATCAATACGCCTCTGAGTCAGCACTTGAAGTGCATTTACTACTACTGTCGAGCGGCCAAGTCTTCGGTCGATCCCATTGTGATCGCCGAAACCAACCTTAAGGTTGCCGTCAATCGGTTCGACAACGATATCCTTAAGTCTATTGTCCAAAACGGTTCCCACTCTAAGGACCCCTCAGACTCTGCCACTGATGACCATCAGCTGATCCTAACATATCCCCAGAAAGGAATCGATTGGTTCTATTTGTCTGTGATCTCCATCTATAGTGAAAATATGGACACAATCCTGAAGCCATTGATTCAGTTTGTGATCACTCACTGCGAGTTGACTGCAAACAAACATTTGGACACAAATCACAGCAACAATGACTTGAGTTTCGCTCTCATGGCGTTAGACGTGTCCATCGATTTCTTGGCCCTCAAACCCCTCCAAAGGTCTTTCGGCGAACTCTTCGCCAAAGAGCTGAAAGACGCGAAGATAGCGCTAAAGAGCTGTTCCGACGTTTTGAACGATTGCAAAGCCAACGACGAAAATGACTATCAAAATGATAGCCAAACTAAGGCTCTCTTTCACGACTACTTTTTGCGGGGATTTTTACCGTTGAGTGTAATTCACTCTCAATTGGAGTTTGACTCAAACGAACCGCTGGTCGTCCGCCCGAACCAATTGGTGGTCAGAGTTATCGTCAAATTAGACAAACTATTGTCTTCTGCGGTGAAACCTGTGGCGAAACCGAAACGTATGCGGAATGTGGCCCTCGGATCCATTCTGGAGAACGAGTCTTAACCGATGAAGTGGTGTAGATTTGATCACTACTCCACTTACCGCCGATGACTGTTAAAAGTGGACATTTATTTTCCATAACACGAGACAAAGTCGAGTCAATTCAGAGAATTTGTGTTTTTCATTGATTTTTATAATTGAGAATTTTTTAACGAATATTATATTAAAATAAATTTATACTAAAATGTAATAATTTTCGTATTAAATAAATATCTATTGTTTTGTTTCGTTAAATAAAATATGATTTTTCTAATTAATCATCGAAATGATTATTAAATAACTGTTGAGTGCCGTTATAATATACCAGGAGCATTTTCGAAAATGTGACATAGTAATGGACAGTTGATTATAATGGCACTAAAATAACATTAAACAAATTGGCTTAAGAGTTTAAAAACAATGGGATACTAATAGTAGTATGTTATAACGGCACTAGACTGTATGTATTAATCCATTATTATAATGAATGTTACGTTTATTTAAGCTATGGTTTGACTGTATTTCAAGAAAAAATATGGTAATAAATATGATAATCATTGGATGATTAGGTGATGAAGGCTTGGATGACAAATGCACTAATGATGAGCCATTAGTGTATTTGCAAATATTCCTGTATATTATTCATATCATTTGATAACATTTGTTACGGAAAGCAAATAATTATGATTTCAATTTATATTGAAATTGAGTCTATTTTTTGTTATTAATTGAAATTAATTAATATTTTAATTTAGTTAATTTATATGAATAAGACTCAATATATTTTTTAAAAACTCTTAACCATATTATATGTAAAATCATAAATTAATTGGTATTTAATTAAAAAATTAAACGATTAAAAACACTTAATAGAGTTAAGAAAAATAAAACACGAATAAAGTATGAATGCTATGAAATGAATGTAAATTATTTAATAACGCTATGAAATGACGATTCTTTAGGTTCAAAGTCTATCAGCAATCAAATGAGTTTTATTTCATATTATCATTACTTAACTGTTTTTATATAAATAAGTTATTATTGAATAAATATCATAGAATATATGCGAAAAGAGACAATTCAAATGTATTTATCAATTGATTAGATATTATGCCAACATTTTTACTATAATATCATAAAACCAATTGTTTTACTGATTTTGTTTGTAATTTTAAAAACTCAATTCTAGACAAATTCTGATTCAAAAAATTGGAGACAATTTGCGTTAAAACAAAAATAAAACAATTGAAAATTCGTTGCATATTCTGTACAAACAATTCTTGACATTTATTCAACACATTTATTATTAATATAATAAATGTCTGGCAATTAATTGGCAAATAAAATACTCGACAGAAAAAGCAGTGACAGAAAAGCCATATGTTGTCAGCAAAACTGGTTTCAATAGTGATGTGTGATTACAAAACCTACAAGAATTCATTACATTACAAATATCTCTCATTTTGTTATCTAATGAATAGAATAAATATGATTATAAAGAATTCAATTTCCAATTTATGAATATCGTTTTATTCAAAAAATAATATATAAAAATCACATTATTATTATATGTTGAATGTTTTCACAGAAAAATAATATATAGATTGTACTCAAAATTCTTATAAATATATTTATATAGTATTATGTCATTAATAATAGTAATAATTATAATAAAAATTTTTGATTTATATAAAAAGGAAACCCATTTTGTAGGCATTAAACCGACACAAATATAGCATTCATTTGCTTCAATCACTACAAAATAAATTACTTCATCAAAAGTTATTTAAGTTTTATGTATTGACAATACAGTGTTGTGGAAAAATATATATTTTATTTTTAGTTTAATTGTAAGAAATTTGTTTTTATAGCTATTATGTCAAAAAACCTTTATATCTTTAAACACTAATAATTATTCAATAATTAGTTATTTTATGTGAAAAAATAATTATTATTTTTAGTCTTTCAATATTACATTTATAAGCAATTTTAAGGCCTCTAATCAATAGTTGAACTTTTGGTTTCGAAATATACAAAAAAGAGAGAGAAAATTACATATTTATTGTTATATAAATGGTTTCTTTAAACTAATGATCAATTGTTTAAAAAATTTGCAATTGATTTACAAAAAATAAATTAGAAATTCTATGGAAAAACATAAGACTCTTATTCGTGGAGCGGAAGGAAGAGAGTATCAAAACACATGTTATATTTTGAGCACTTATTTTCATTAAATTTATAATTTCAATACAGAATCAAAACCAGAATTGATTTCTTCATTCAATAATTGGGAAACGAAGGGATGAATAAATATTCAATTCATGTAATTAACGTATTTATATATAGGATTATATTCATAGTTAATATTAATAGTTGTGATGAAAGAATGTAACGCTTAGTATGCGATCGAAAGGCACAAAGTTATTACTTTTTGTTATCTAATTCTGTAGTTAACTAATTAATGATTGGAACTCTTATTTGTTTGCTTTTTAAAAAAGTTATTTCAAAAAACTATAAAATTTTCATTTATACAAAACAAAACTTATTAACGCTTTGTTTTTGTTTGACGTAAATATATAAGAATAGTGTCTCTAATAGTGGATGATATCAAAAATGGTATTTTTCATTCATATGAAAAATTATCCTAATGTTAAGAAATAGATTATTCAATATATCCGTACAAAAATAACAATACAATTCCTCCCAAACGATTAGCAATAAAAAATGATAACATATTCTATATATTCATATCATTATAATATATATTTATATAATATTTCGTATTTTCTTATGTAAATAGAAAAATAGTAGAAAAGTATGATTCAATTGGTTTTATGTTTTGTAATCAAAATCTAAATTTGAGTTTAAATTCTGAAATCGGAAACAATGGGCAAAAAATTGTCGCTTAGGTTTCAATTCAATGAATCAATCAATCATTTGTTAAATAATAATAATTACGATATAATAATAATTAACTTTAAATTTCTCTCTTTTGTTAGATAACGCGGACAACAGACAAACACAAACCAAATCATTATTTGCTTTGCGAGCTGTTGTCCTGCGATTGTGTTGTGACCCATTCAAGTGCTGCGGGAGTGTTGGAATCGCCGGACATGTCCTCGTTTTTGACGCCACGGCCACCGCTGGTGGGCGTAGAGGTGGCCACCATTTGCGAGAGCGATGTGTTGGTCATCTGATGGATGTCCCGGTAGTGTTTCATCAGCGACTTCTTCCACGTGTACTCTTTGGCGCAAACACTGCACGTATAGATCTGTTCGGCGCGATTGCTGTGGAAGTAGTCCATGTGCTCCTTCAGCGTCTGCTTATTGCCATACAATTTGTTGCATATCTCGCACTTCCATTTGTTCGACGAGTTCCAGAGTGTGGTCGGAGTCTTCTTGTGGAACGCGATGTAACCCAACTTTCGATTACTCGACCGAACCATCGTTTGCTTCACCGACTGATCGCCGTTCCGGTGAGCCTTCACTAACGAATGGCCGCCACTCTTGTGGTGCTTCCCCTCCAGACGTAGGGACGAACTGCGGCGTCGTTTCGCTCCCTTGAGGTCCAAGTTCTCGGATATGAACGACGGGAATGTCGTCGGGTCGGCGTCTATTTGGATCAGACACGGCATCGCTGGGCTCGAGTCGTCGGCTGAGGCCGCGCCGCCGTTCGGCACATCAACCGACGCGTCGCTCACACTCTTCTCAATCATGTCTTTGCTGTCGACCAGCTTTTTGAGGGCCGCTTTCAGCGACGTTTCGCTGCTTCTCTCCTCAATAGCTGGCGATTCTTGTGTCAACTCTTCCTCGTCATCGACAGTAATCCAGTTGTTTGTCTCCCCATTGGCCGCCTCCTTATGATTGACGACCAAACCATTGGTGGCGGGCGTGTGAGGGGACGTCTTGGTGGGCACCTTCTGCTTCCGTCGAGCGCTCACGTGATTGCTCTTTGAATCCAATTCTTGCGGTGGACTTCTTTGTGGTGATGAGTGAAAGCTCTGATTCTGAGGAATATTGTCGACAAAATTATGATTAAAATTGAGATCAGTTTTTAATTTAGGCGATCGATTGGCTGATTGGCCGCCAATGAAGCCGTTCCGTCGTTTGGTGGCCGCCGTCGTCGCCGCCGTCGGAGAGATATTGTTTATATTATTATTATTCATATTATTATTACTACTAATGATGTTATTATTTTCATTATTCACACAATTATTATTAAAATTATTGAAATTCTGTGAATTCTGGTTCTCGTTGTTAATGGATTTGTTGGCAGAATTATTATTCATTGAATTCTTAACCGAATTGTTATTATTCTTGACATTATTTGTATTATTCGTACTATTATTCAGATTACTGTTACTATTATTAGTACTATTGATGGTATGATTGGTATTATTAGCCGATTGTTTGCCATTATTATGATTATTGGATGAGTTATTGTAGACTAACTTAATGTTAGCCAAGCCTTTGATGTGCAGAATCTTCGCCGAAGAGAGGAACGACTCGATGGCATCTCTGGTCACTTCCACCTGACCGTTGTATATGAAGTGGAGGATCGCTTCCATGTCCTGCACCTTCACGTCTTGTGGCAAAATCATGATTGTATTGCAGTTGTTCTGGTGGTCAGACGTCTGGAAGGCGGACAACGCATTCTTGATGTACTGACTGCTGGCCGCCATTACCACGCGATGGCACCGAAACACACGTCCGGAGCAACAGATGGCCAAATCGGTGAAGAGTCCGTCCGCGAAGAGCGCTCCGAACGACTCGAATCCGTCCAAATCGGAACCCTTTCGGAAGTGATAGGTCTTGTCATCGGTCGAAGAATTGGTGCTATCGTTGGTGTTGTCGTCGTTGTGGTGATGATTGCGGTCGTCATCGATGGACGAGTCGATGGGTTTGCGATCCATTGTCTGTACGCTTATAGAGAGGGCGACGGATGTGTTGACACAGAATTGGCACACAATTCGTGCCAAAAATCAAATTCAATCAGTGGTTGCGCTCTCTCTTCGTTCAATACGTGTCTTGGGATCCGATTAAGTGATGAAATAATAATACAATTAACGAAATCAATCACTTAATCGACAAATAATACACAAAACAAACCAAAAGTCAAGAAATGAATTGAAATTATGGTTGAATTTTGGACACAAAAACACATCAAAAATAAAACACAAAACAAAACACTGGAGAAGAGGAGAGGGTTTTGGTTGAAGTGTTAACTCATTTGTGGTGTGTTTTGTGCGAAGAAGTGGAAGAATGGTTGACACGATTCCGACATTTCGAGACAATAACAATAATAACGATATATTGAGTCAATTCCTAATCAATTTAGAGTCCATTTCCTGTTATAATAGCAATGAATGCATTCCTTGAGAGAGAGAGACAGAGAGAGCACTGGTTATAGACGTCGAGTAGTTGTGTTGTGCAGAGTATAGCATAGCATAGGATAGCATAGCATTGAATGCAAACCAATGACTCTCCGCTCGCAATACACTTCGTATACAGTATTCAACACATAATCACATAATATTCAGTCGTATGGATGTATGGATAGAATGGACGGCAAAACGCGAAACACAACTCAAAATTCAACTCAACATTCAATAGGCAATGGAGTTGTTTGAGTCGTTTTGCGCAAATAGCTGTACAACAGGACATTCACTCCACACAACACATCACATATACATTATTACCTACACTATACCAGTCCCTACACCAACAGTCCCTATACCCTATACCATACCCCATACTACCAGTCCCTTCGCTGCCACCACTGCCTCCACTGCCTCTCCACTCCACTGTTGCACTGAAGCTCCAAAAGCAGAATATCAGTGACGTATCCCTACTCTAAACCCTAAATATCGCTGCACTTATCCATGCATTTCTCCAATTATATCGTTATTATTATTATTTCTGCAATTTTAGTGAAATATTTTCAAATATCTATTTCTCTCCCATTCTCTACACATTTCACAATCGATTCAATCACTGATTCAAACTTTGAGATTAATTTGTTTGGTGTGAAATTAGCACTAAATATTTCATTCTCTCTCTCTCTCTCTCTCTCTCTCAAGGAATGCATTCATTGCTATTATAACAGGAAATGGACTCTAAATACTCTCTCTCTCTCTCTCTCTCTCTCTCTCTCTCCCCTTTCTTGTGTCACAAATATGTATGTTATAGCGATTGAAAGAATCGAGTTTTTAAGTGCTGTTTTAGAGGTTTAAGTTTTATAATGAAATCAATTTCTGGTTCTCTTTTATAACTCTCTTTGAATGAAAAACTCTTATAATAGAGGCTTTGAAGAAGCGGTTGATGTCATAAATGTGTTGCTTCTTTAGCCTCAATACATATACAGTAACACTGATTCCTATGGCTGTGAAGTGCTATTCTGTGCTACGAAATGGTCGGTTAGTTGTGTTGTTTCTGTGGGGAGGAGTGGGTGTCCGCCACTGGACTGTGTGGCAGAGCACTGGCAGAGCACTGGCTGTTAGACGCTATCTATGAGTGCATTCCTTTATGAGCGCAAGAATTAAGAGTTTGATATAAAGTGAAGAAAATGTTTGAATGTTTGGTTCATTCAATTTTGTTGTTCAAAGAGCTTTTATCACATGAATTGAAGTCTCACTCAATGCAAAACCCAGTGTTGTATTGCATTTAGGCTTTTTTGATGGCATCTCTACTTCAATGATAATGACTTTTTAGACGATTTCTGGTTCTCAATACCAGTCGCCTATCAATGCGTTTATTCTTTGAGCACAACTCGTATATGACTTTTGTATTGTGATATCAATTGCCAACACAATTATATTCGTGTGTAATATATTCGATACTCATTTGTCTTTCCCTTTGAATAACTATCAGAATAATTAACTTAAAGCTCTTTCGACAACAAAAAGCAATTTTGATCTAATTTTTTGTGAGAATTTCTCAATCGAGTGAATTAGAGCGCAGTTTTGATGCTAACACTTGGACTCCATAGCTCTCTCTCTCTCTCTCACTCACTCACTCACTCACTCACTGTGAATGCAGGTGTTTGTGCACAACCCGCACAGTCGATCGCTAAACGCCGATGGTCGATGGGTGATGAGCGCATCTGCCAATGATATCAATTTCTTGAATATTAATCAAACCGTCAATACCCTAACCACTGGAAAATTGAAACCATTGAACCAAATAAGTAATAATAACGCAAATAATAAGCCCACCGGTGCTAACAATGATGTGCTGGTGATCGGGACGCCCACCTCTATTATGGTCTACGATGTCCTCAACAATACCGACCTTTTCTACAAAGAGGTTCATATTTAACATTATTATATTTCAATGGCTCTCTCTCTCTCTCTCTCTCTCTCTCTCTCTCTCAGACTTTCATTCAATGCAATTTAATTCATACAATAGTTTTGAGTTAAAATTTTAATTGTGTCACAGAATAGGCATATATTTCACGGAAAGATTTTTATTTCAGGAAATTGTTTCTTTAATTAATAAATTCATATCAGTTCACTTTTTCATAATTAAAATTACACATTATATAGTATAGTGCACATAGTTTATTTATAATTTATTCAAAACACACTTTACAAATAATTATAAAATTTAACCAATGTCATTTACATGTATACTGCATGTCAGGTACCCGATGGCGTCAATGCTGTGGTTATAGGCGAAATCGGGGCAATCAATAAGCCGTTGGCTATTGTCGGTGGCAATTGTGCTCTACAGGGCTTTGATTACGAGGGCAACGATAGCTACTGGACGGTCACCGGGGATAACATCACATGCATTGCGTTGGCAGACATCGATGAAGATGGACAAAATGAGGTTTCAATTCATCTCTCTCTCTCTCTCTCTCTCTCTCTCTCTCTCTCT